GGTGTTCACCAGGCCACGGAGCCCCTTCTGCAGGAGTAAATTAGGCTTTAATTCTCCGGCATTGCAGAAGGAGACGTGCACCTCCTACTAGGACCACCACAGTGTGAGCGTAATTAGGACTGGGAGGTGTTGAGCTGGAATGGGCTGATTATTGAAGTGAACCCATATGTTTGCTGTGGATCACCATCTGGTGGAAGCCCTCCTGCCAGAGCGCTGATGCTCTACATTTCAGTCGTGGTTTTACTCACAGGTCGATTTGTCTACAGTGTTTTTATGCTTTGGTTGGGATTCTTGTCATAATGTGGTTGGTTTTGTTTTGCTTAGTATCTGAAGAAGCTGCACACACAGGAGCGGGCGGTGGAGGAGGTGAAGCTGGCCATCAAACCGTACTACCAACGCAAAGACATCAACAAGGACGAGTACAAAGACATCCTTAGGAAGGCTGTGCACAAGGTCAGCCTGAGGACACACACCTACATCAAGGAACAACACACACTTCATGTGTTCGTTCAGGTCAAGTCAAACAGGAATGCTGAGTCATGTTTCAACCCCGATTAAATCAAGTGTCCGTCTGTTTTTTTTTTTTTGTTTGTTTGTTTTTTTCCAGATCTGCCACAGTCGAACGGGTGAAATCAACCCAGTCAAGGTCAGTAACCTGGTCAAGCTCTATGTTCAACGCTACAAATACTTCCGGAAACATGGACGCAAAATGGATGAAGAGGATCGGGATGAGAGGGAGTTAGGAGTGCTCCATGGCTCTGTCTGAAGAGACTTTTCCCCCCTCCTTCACCTGGAAGCATCATCAGGGCTCCACTGACTTTTATGTGTTCATTTCTGTTTTCAGAGCTCGCTCTCGTTCCTCTGTAGTCTCTGTGTTATCACTGTAGATATCACAGGTGTTATCATGACGCAGCGAGGAGGGGCTTCTGTCTTACACACACGACCCTGAGGTAACACTAATCACAGGGCAGCATCTTCACATCTGATCAGCGGGATGTCCAGGCATGTCTGTCTGCCCCTTTGGGGTCAGGCTGCTGAGGAGGTGCCCCCCCCCCCACACACACACACACACACACGCTGTCGCTCAGCTGGTCCCGACCTGTTTTAAAGTCCATGTTCTGTTCTTGTATCTGTGTTGTGTGCATGTGTTACAGAGTTTGGAGAAAGTCCGTGAATCTCTATAAATAAACTTGACCCACAAATTTAAAGATTGCTTGAGCGTCCTTCTGGGTGCTGTGGTCTGTGGCTGACGCGTGGGAGAAAACAGCTGATAGAAGCAGTTTCATCAGATAAACAGTCAGCCTAAATGTTCATCCATCCATTCTGTTGTCAGTACCAGTCAGCCCTGTTCGGGTTCTGGTATCAGTCCCAGGGTCAGCAGCAGAGAGGTGGAACAGACAGGGACAACACACACACCCAGTGGGGTTACTGAGTGTAACAGTCTAGCAGACTGAAGGACAACATGAGGTCAAAGTCATTAGGTGTTCATTTTAGAGAAAAACGGAGAAGAAACAAGTAAAAGATGAAGATGTGTCATGGCAGGTATCGTGAAAGGGAAAACATCGTTTTAGCCATTGGGCTGACGGTAACAACAGTAGATCAGACGCTGTTGTGGGTTCGTCTTTGGTTCATGAGCATACAGATAATTAGCTACCAACTGCATGAGGTGTATTGATGAATTGTCTCCTGACGTCAGATCGGAGGCGTTTGCATTTGCTACGACCACTACTTTGTTGTCGTCTCACCGACTTCGCTAAACCAAAGAAAATCACTTTCCCTGTTGGGTTGCTTTGGTTTGGAAAGTGGTTTAACTAGTCCATTACATTAGCTCCTTTAAGTAGATTTAAAACAAGACATATGTCTGAGTGATGTTCGTGCCTTAAACGCCAGAGCTCATTGTTTAGCTGTAAACATTTTGCTAAGATCAAGACAAACGAAAAAGGTCTCAGCCAGTCAGGTGGAAAGCAATCATCCAGTTGTGACTAATAAGGCAGCAGGGAAGATCCTGCCTTTCTCGCCTCTGATTGGCTAGAAGGGCTCCCTTACGACTGGATGTTTCCATTTCCTGTAACAGCGAACCAGTGACTGTAGAAGAAACCGTCTTCCCTCGCTGCAGCCAGATCTTAAGGAGGATTTTATTTTAACTTGGCGCCATGGTAACCATTCTGTCCTGTTTTCCAACATACCAGTTTATTTTATAACAGAACCTGTAAAACAATCAGTCTTGTTGCATTTAACACTGTTGGATTGACTTAATATCCAGGGTTATCCTACTATAGGATATCTGATGCCTTCACCTTCATATGCTGTCTGTTGGAGCACCACTCCTTTCATCTGTTTAAATGTGTAGTGCAGAAATAGGATTTAGATCTATTTTCACCGGTTTACATTTTTTACTTTACTTACTAATATCAGCAGACACAACTGGGCAAAATAGGGCAGTTTTATTATGTTTCATACCCAGGTAAGGCACACACATGTTTATCCTAGATAACCTCAATGCTTGAGAACCAACAGACATAAAGTAAGTCTAAAAGTGTGATAAATGCAACAAGATGCAGGTTTTAAAAGAAACAGGAAAAAAAACTATTTTGCATAACAGGACAGGATGGTTATTATATCACAAGTTCGCATTTTCTTTACAAAACTCCCCAAAGCAGGTGTTCTGCTGGTAGCAGGTCTCTTTCTTTAGCTCTGGGCAGGACATATGTCTGTGGGCAAGGCAGCGAGGGAAATAGCCAATCGTGGCAGAGCCCTTCTAGCCAATCAGAGGCCAGGAAGGCGGGATCTTCCTTGGACATTCTACAATTCAAAATGATGCCCTTTGTTCCAAGTACAGTTGGTGGCAGCTTGTAGCACAGGCCGTGGAGTGGGCACGCGGCACTGCCATACCATATATGGAAATGACAGTTGCTTTCTGGTGTCGGTACAGGATTGGCTCGGGGTCCTTCGACTGCCGATGACGTCACATTATTGCAAATCTACTCAACTTTCACACAGAGGCGGTTTTACCATTAGGCATAGGTCGGCGGCTGCTTGGGGCCCCCCAGCCCTGACCGCAGGCACCCCTTTGTTAATGCCACAATATTCTTATTACCAACCTGTGGCCGCAGACGGGATTGGACATGCGCACTTCTCATTACCATAATTCCTGAACCGTTCAAGATATCATTAAAATTATAAAAGTGCTGAAAAGATTAAAAATGGGGCTTTTCGTGCATATACAAGACATTACGGTAGCCACCGGGATTCCCTGTCTTGAGCGCAACGAATCACAACACAGATTCAGAAACGTGCTGAGTTTGTCATCCAAAATGCTCCGTTATATAACTTTTGAAGGCTGATCAGATTCAAAAAATTCCAACGGTTCCTAAAAGTACATAAAAGCAGCTTTCCAACGATCTATAGCATGAAGCAATCCGAGTTATGGAAAATATCGCTACGAGGGGAAATCCTGCTGTACAGCCTGATTGAAACGGAGCGCAGCGCCGCGGTGAAAGCGGATAACGGAACGGGGAAGGTAATCAGCATAAAAAGCCGACATGAAATTATGGAAATGCTTCAAAGAAAATCAACACAATCTATTAGGTGTCCGGGAAAATTTGGTCTAGAACCGCCCCTGGGTGTCCCAAAAGGCTTATATCTGAAGACAGTGACCAAGATAAAGGACAGATCTCCAGTGAACCAGGGTATGAATGTTTGTTCAGTCTTATATTTTATTTTTTATTTGAACAACCCTCAACTATTTGCTAATTGTAAGATTCAGCTTCATTCCAGCATTATTTATCTTTTTACAATAAATAATTATTTTTGCTAAAACAAAAGTTTTTGGTATAGCAGTGCACGGTGTGCCAGAGAAGCACCCCATGGCGGTGTGAGGTGCTCTGCAGTTTACAAAAATAAATGGTCTTAAAAACAGCTAAAAAAGATACCAAGGTTCACACTTTTTTAAGAATAGATGCACTTCAGTTCAACGTTTAAATTGTTTGCCCAGTAATTTTGAAGTTCCTGTTCAGTAATAAATGTAAAAAATTCAAATCCGTTTCTTTGCTTTTTTCACTTTTAAGCTGATTTTTTAAAGGCTTTAATAGAAATAAATTCTAAATACAAACCATACACTAAAAGCTGAGGTTGATCTGAAAGAGTTACACACACTTTGCGCTTTTATTACAATTTTACAGCCATAAGATTAAAACAATACCAGGCGGCCCTGTTATAATTATGGTCATAAGAGGGTTATTAAGACGGCGATGCACAAACTGGAAGTGATTGGTAGTCATTCCACTCCAATCCAGTTGGTGGCAGTAATGCACCAAACTGTTGTTTACCAAGTGCCATAAGACCACAAATAAGAAGAAGAGAGGCGGGAGCGTTCGTAACAAACTCAAAGCGATAGTCAAAACATGAAGCATGACATGAAGTTATCCTAGTGGCTCCAATAAGAGAAAGAAGCAGCATGCTTAATAAAAGCTTTTATCTTCACTTCTGAAAGTGACGTAGTTTTTTTATGTAAACATCAAAAGGAAGAAGAAAGGAAAGACAATGAAAAATGTTTAAAGGGAGGAAAACATAGACCAAAATGGAAAATAGAAAAAAAAACTAAGGCAGGAGCACTGACAGGAAGAAGAAAGCACTCAAAGGGAGAGAAAGACAGGAAAAAAAGAGGACTAATAAAAAGTGAAAATAACTCGTGTCAGAAGAGGGGAGAGTTTCGCAAATCCAAAGGTAAGATTGTCGAAAATTTAGTGTAAGGGGCCCCTTGTCTGTGTTCGCCTTGGGCCCCCAAATTGCTAAATCCTCCTCGGCTTTCACACACATGTTTTGGAAAGACATCAGCAGTTTTGTTAATAAATTCTTGTTTGTTACCATATAAATGTTTTCTTTATAATTGTAATTTGTTAATAAAACACCATATTATCTTTGTTTTGTAAAGAATGTGAAACTGCATAAAACCAACATCGGACTGACAAACAATAAAACAGTTCTTATATGTGAAGCCACGTCTGTTTGTATCAATGTGGAGTTCGTCTGTTTATTTCCTTAGTTGTTATCTAAATACATTCTTTGACTCTAAATATTGCTTGGTGTCTTTCAATAAAGTTCTTATATTTTATTTTGCCCCATTTCATCAACATCAAGAGCTTTTGAGGGTCACCGTTTATCATTTGCTTATATTTTACATTTCCTTTAGAAATTCAAACATATTTTCTCCAAAACGTGTTGATTTTTGGACTACAGGACTACAACCGCAAATTTGTTCTGACCAATCAGAATCATAACGTGATAACGTAACGTCCGTAAGCTTCATGTTCAGCCAGTCAACTACTTTGACGTCATCGGCAGTCGAAGGACCCCGAGCCGATCCTGCACCGACACCGGCGTTGTGGTGTGTGACGTACGCTGCTCAGCGCTGATTGGCTCGGTTAGAGTTCTCAGGGGGTGGGGCTATTTGAACAGGAGAGTTCCCAGATCCTTTCTCTGTGCAGAATTAAACAGAGGAGGAGTCTGGCAGGCCAGGCTATGAGATTTCTAATTACTTACATTTTTATTTAATGTTCAACATTTTAGTTTCACGTCTCCAGCTGTCAAAGCCTGGCTCTACATGTCTGCCCCCCACAACTCCGTTCTGTTCAGGTTATTTATGAATCGCCAATCCACAACAAGCGTCGTCTCAGAGCGCTTTACAAAAGCCAGCGTTCCAATTGAATCTACTGATTCAAACGTGCTTTGAGTCCAGCTCATTATTCCACTTACTTAAAGCTTTTCTATCTAAGGAAACGCAGCGGATTGCATGAAGTCTCTGACTTTTTGTGTGAGAGGCTTTCCAGCAATCCCCACACTAAGCAGCATAAATCACTCACTCACACCCAGAGACATGTTAGGGTCACTAATTAACCCAACATGTGTGTGTGTGGGTGGGTGGGGGTGGGGGGGGGGGACCGGAGCGCCCGGAGTAAACCCACGCATTCATGATGGAGAACTAAGTCTTCATCATGAAGCCCCTTTTTTTCTGGTGTGCTTGTGTGTGCTCTACAGGGGGTGTTGCATCTAAGATTAGTTATTCACTCACTCACTCACTCACTCACTCCCACGTAGATTGCTAAATTTAGAGAATGCTAATGCTAATTTTCGTGCTTAAAGGTCACAGCTGGGCTTTAAACTTGTGACGTCATCATGAAGCCTGGGTGTTTGGGGGGGGGTCAGATGC